GGGGGGGGGGGGGGGAAGAAATGAAATGGAGAACGAGGCTACGAAACGCAACGAGTAGAACGAGAGGAAGGGAAGAATTACGATGATTATGTAATTTCAGGAGAAAGGCGAGCGTCAAATACTCATCAATCGATTCTAAGTAATAAGCAAAAGAATATAAATGATTATCACGACGCAAGCAGCTCCGTTGTCTCTTTTTATTTCTAACATTCGTCACGGTGATCCCCAACGACGCGACGCGAGAGAGAGAGAGAGAGAGAGAGAGAGAGAGAGAGAGAGAGAGAGAGAGAGAGAAGGGGGCGAAGGGAAATCAAGGTGAATTATAAAGATGAGGATAGGAAGCGAGTTTTCATTATCCTCGAACGAATAATTATCCCCTATTATGATGGAATTTCTATGGTGTGTACGATCGACCAGAAGCCAATCATCCTTAGTAGACTTAAGGCGGCTTTCAACATCATCGCTCAAAGTATAATAGCGCCGTTAATTTTAAGAGAATAAAAAATAAGGAGTGTAAATCCCTTGGCACCGCTCCAAATGTGTTATTTTCCACGCGCGAGAAAGACAAAGAGACGTAAGAGTTACAGAAATAATTCTTCGAAAGAAGGGTCGGGACGCATCTTGAGAACGGACTTAGAAGCGAATACGTAGCAGCCGAGTGGCACCCGAGCAGCGAACCTGCGTAAAAGGGAAATGATGATGATGGAAAGCGAACAACCGAACAATACCGGAGGAAAATCCGAGTCGATATCTCAAGCCATTCGAAAGTTACAGCCTCACGAGTCTCGAGAGACGCACTAAAAGTTCCTTCGAACGAAATACCGAGTGAAATGCCGTAACTCGGATACACAAAACCATATAGAGTTCAGGCCAGCGGCGGCTCTGCCATTTTCTACGACTCCCTGGTATATGATATCATCGCTAGTTTTAGTTTCTAAGATTACGTGCGGCCCGATACGCACGCACGTGCATTATATTCCAGACTGTCTATACTTTCTACGTGCGCATAGATAAGTTCGAGTACTTCAGCAAGCAAGTTCAATTATTTGTTTTACACGCAGATTTATCGAGATGTCTGATACGAGCCGCGTGTAGCCACGTCGACGCGTCCAGTCAAGTTGAAGTCCCAAATCCAGTTCACCCCCATATTGACATTTGATCGCTCTTTGATATTCAGTCTATAGTTTATTACACCAGTCAACTGTAGTTCCAACTTATCGCGCGATTGGATTTTTAATTTTTTATAATTTTAATCGGGAGAACCGTCAGACCCTGACAGTAGGACTTTTCTCGTAACGATTTACCTAATTACCATATAATTCTCGAGAGACAAACAATATTCCATAATTGTTCGGCGTCGTCAATAAATAAGCAGCAGGGGCAATTTGATTAGGTGATTTTTAATATTCCCAAGTACACTATGAAAAATGAGACGGAAAGTGAAGAATATTGGCTGAACCAAGAGAGAAAGAAAGAAAATGGATTTACAGATACGAACTGTACTTCCGGGATCCTTAATATATTGAGAGATGAGAGATATTGTGCATGGATACATAGGTGAAGAAGATAAAGACGAAGAAAAGGAAAAAGAGAAGAAAGAGAAAGAGAAAGACGAGGAGGAGGAAGCAGCATGCGCCGTTACCATATACCATTACACGTATATAATTTTCCATCTAAAGCGCTTCGACGCAATTTCAAAGTTTTCCTTCCAGCCCTTCGGGTTACAGAGTATTAAGGAAGCTTCGACGCGCCTCTTCCACCCTTCGATTCGTTCGGTAGAGCCGGACAAAGCGGACTCTTTCGGAATTCGCCTCTTGTGCGAAGGGAAAAACATTCGAAAGGAACATCGATACCTCCGTGAGAACCAGCCAAGCGAATAGGCGGCAGGCGGCAGGCGGCAGGCGGCTAATAGGAACCCGAAGAAATAAAATTCGAATGCGTCGGTTCTAATGGAGTCACCGTCACTGTTGCCTAACGGTTACTCGAACCAGCGAACCAGCGAACCAGCGAACCAGCTAACGGCCTCCAACCACCTCCGAGATTCGACTGAGCTCGTGATAAGATATTGATTAAATAGTCTCTCCATTGTCGTGACTAAATTATTTTTAGTCCCGGCAGACGTGCATTTCCTCTGTGTGCTCGAGTATTTCTGATTTCGCGGGCAGCGTCACTGGCCTTTTAAAATGCTCCCCCAACATAACCTATAGCTTGCCCCGATATACTTGTGAGTGGCTCACCGATTCTCCATCCTGCATTTGTTATCTCTTGACTTGCAGTTGGCCTTGAATTCCTCGAAAAGTTTAGTGCACGATTTGTTACGTTGGCAGACGCTGAGGGCGTGGTTGCAGTTCGGCAGGGCGTCTATCGCGTAGCTGTCCTCGTCTGTAATCAAAGATTGGACAAGAGATTAAGGATCTTGCATTGGGCTGATCTCCGATACAGGCACGTCAAGTCGAAGAGAGAGAGAGAGAGAGAGAGAGAGGCGACGTTGGGAGAGCCTTCCGGGGAGTGCAGGAAGGCCTCACGAAAATCTACTAGGAACTGCAAAGAAAGGGTTGCAATATCAGAGGTGGACGGATCTATTGGGAGGGGTAGCCTGGGGGTGAATGGCCAATCGGAGGAATGCAAGGAGAAGAAAATAGCACAAGGAAGAAATGATGGGGGTGGGTTAGGGGCGAAGAATACGACTGGGAATAAAAAGAGCGCATCGCGAATTATCCGGGAATCATTGGAACGTTCAAAAGGCCCGGCGGACCGAATGGGGAGGGGAGGGGAGGGGAGATGGGCTGGTGGAACCCTTGTAAAAATGAACAATAGAGAAGAATAGAGGGAGAGTCTTCGGGTGGATGAGCGCAGAAGCAGCGAAGGGAGTGAAGAGCCAAAGGGTTGCCCGAGGGCTCAGGGCTGAAGGTCGCAACCCCGAAGCCAGTCAAAGATATCGTTTCGAAGCCTTTTGCCTTTTGTCTTTTGTTTCCCACGGAACAGGCCTGTTCGGCAAAGGCGACGCTCTCGCTTGGATACTTTTCCAGGAGCGCAGCGGCGCATCGCAGCGATACGAAAGCAGCGCGCCACCAATGAACTCTGGAACTTTCTCAATGCTGCCAACCATTCAGATTCTTCGTATCCTTTCGGTTTCGGTTCAGGATTGCTCGAATATTCTTTATTTCACATTAAACTGAATTTTACAAAGATGCCGCGCGTGAGACTACAACCCCTCACCCACCCCACCCTTTTTAAATGAAATTAACGAATAAAATTTGTTGTCATTCTCTAAGATATTTTATAGATCAATCGAGTCCCATCGACCGTACGTATATTTAATATTTATTATTTAATATTTTACGAAAGTCCAAATCCCTTGACATCAGGAATTATCTTTATACAATTTCAGCTTCGAATAACCTTCACGGAATTCTATAATTCCCTATATCGATTTTATAGGACTTCACAGGTAAACTTCATTATTTTTAACTCTATTAATATCTTTTTCTCCCGTATCTGGATCTTCATTCGACCTCGAGACCGCTACAAGTTCCGTGGGAAAAAGGATCGAATTCGCCATTTTGTGGTTGTAAATTCAAAAAACTGCACTACAAACGGCACAGCCAGCCGGTCACGTAATTAAAATGTTTTAATCCGGCCTTAATTACATTTGAAAGAGTTTACTGAAAGCCGGTCATACACGAGGGAACGTATAACGAAAACGAGCGAATAAAATTGCCAGAATCCCAATAAAAACTGTAAATTTGAATGTGCTTCAGTTGCAGTAATTACGTCATACGCTGCAATGAATCAGGCAAGGGAGCGTCGCGACGCCCCAGGATCACACTAATCTTCAAAGTAATACCGTCTGGCCCTCTTACGGCTATTACATATTTTTCAAAAAGCTATAGCATCTCGTTCCGAAGCTGAAGCATCAAACCTAGGCAAAGGTTTCTTGGTTAAGAAAGAAGAGCAGGATAATAAGGATTAAGGAGAGTCCTAGAGTGGGCCGTGGTCGAGCGCATGCGCACGTGTCACGTGGACGTGGATGGGCGCAGCGGACGATTCCAGCACGCATGTGCTGCGATCGCTCGTTCACTGCTCCTCAGCGCTGCGATCGCTCGCAGCCTCTTTATTGAAAAGCCGATTAAAGGTTTGCCGGATTAGAGTGCGAAAACAAGATACAAACGGTAACATGTGTAATTTATACATTTATGCGACCCAGTTGCATTTGCGCTCAGAACAAAATTCATCTGGATTTAATCGGCTTGGAGCATTGAACGGTCATTGAACGCGCGCGCTTCTCCCGCGGAAATAAACACTGTGAGGCATTACGAGATATCGGAAAAGCTATGATCTTCCATTCGAGGCAGAGGGGGGACAAAGAAAAAACTAAAGAAGAAAAGGTATCAGGCCAATCGGACGGGTCTCCAAAAAATTCCCTTCAGTCGTTTCTCCACGTCTGACATCTGGTTGGACGGAGAGAAAGTAAATTTCTCTCTCTCTCTCTCTCTCTCTCTCTCTCTCTCTCTCTCTCTCTCTCTGTCGATCCCAGGAACTCGACGGAAACTCAAGAGAAAATTGAAGTACAGACTCTCTGTTGGTACCTGAGAATTAGAAAATTAATGTTCCCGAGTGCTCGAGGACTCGGAGGCTGGGAAACGTTAGAGAGAAGGACCAGCAGCGAGATCGCCGGTATCTTATTGGAATCGTCATGTCGCGAAGCACAGTGGACCCGAAACGCGTCTGTGACTCGTTAAAACTTTTCCTCCTTCTTCGAGCGCAAGTTTAGCCCATGTGCCAGGCTAAACTTCTCGTCCTCTTCACGGAGTTCCTGAACTCAGAAGGGCCAGCAGCTTGTAACTGACAGCCACGCCGCTTTCTGCCCGTTAAGCTTTTCCCGCAAGCTACAGGATACATATTCTACCGTATATTCTAGAAATCTTCTACTCAGCCTAACTAACCTAACGGAACTTCAATAACATATTTTATATATATATATATATATATATATATATATATATATATATATGTATATACATATATCTCAACTGGATTAAGCGAGACAACTCGACTGACCGTTTTTAAGAGCGTAGATGCAGGGATGGTCAAAGACGTAATCCCGAAAGTTGTTACACTGAGGATCCACGTGAGGTTCCCTGCAGAGGCAAGTGGGCCGGAAGAAGGAAAATGCCTGAAGCGTACGAAGAGCAGCCTGACACTTGTTTATGGTGATGGTCGAGCATGCCACTGAAACAGAAGAAAAAAGAAAAAGGTAATTAATACCGTGCGAGACTCGTTCTACGGGACTAATGAGATCAACGAGAGATTCGTATGTGCGGTATAGAGATGCGGGTGTCTATCGATTTTTAATTTATACCTTTGACAAAGCATCCCCGAGCCGACAGCCGAGTGACCTCTTTCGCCATTTTGGAGCACCTTCAGCCCAGAAATGACGGAAGAACGAACCGTACTCAGCCTCTTCCGAATTGATTGGCGCATCGATTGGCGCATCGATTGGCGCATCGATTGGTCGTTCGATGAGCTCGGGGAATCCCGTGGAGAAATTTGGTATAATGCAAAAGGCGGAAACCCCTTTAGAGGGATGATTCGATATATAGCGCAAGGATCGCGAGGATCGCGAGGATCGCGAGGATCGCGTCAGCCCACTGAAGGGAAGCGAGCCTCTTTCCGAAGTGAAACAGAGGAAGCCGTAGTCGGAGCGAAGACAATAGCAGGTGGAAACTCAGGAACAAACAGCCACGGGCAAGCCCCGCCGTCCTCCCTCCCGGCGCGAGAGTCACGGGTAGTCGGGGCTTCTAGGGCCCCTCCCCTCCCACCCTTCCTTCCTTCCTTCCTTCCGTGTCCTTCTCCATCTTTCTTCCCATCTCCATTAACTCCCTGTGTAAACGATATCCAGGGGTACCTAAGAACTTTTCTGTGTGGACTGCTTCGCTCTTTTAAAGAATCACAAGCGTCACAAGACTAGAAGCTCAGGTGAAAAATACCTAATCCTCCTCCGGTCATTTTACAATATAACAGCTGAGAAGCGATTGACTTTTCGCCTCAGTTATACTTGATATCGTGAATTCTTCGCGATATCGAAGACCCTTATACAGGCACCAGAGCACAGTCAGCTGCCAGACCTGAAGACTGTATAGAGATCACTTTTATAACTAGGTCAGGTTGCTGCCAGCGATGCTAGCGATTCTAGCGATTCTAGCGATTCTAGCGATTCTAGCGGTACTACAGTACGGTAAGCTAACTAAAATTATTTCAATTGATACTTTGAAAGTTCGCGAGTTCTATCGCTCGAGTGACCCTTAACCCTGGAAATGACAAGCTCTTTCATTGGCAGCTATTTCGGTATGGACGGTCCTCTTGATTCCTCAACTTTGTCATCTCCTTCGGCATCGTGCACATAGGATAGTCAAAGGATGCAGGGAGAAGATAAAGAAGAGAGAGGTAGGAAAGTGTTAAAGGTAACGAAGAGGCTATAATGTGAGAACGAAGGGTGAAGATTCTGAAGGCGGCGAAGCTAAAAGTGTGAAGGTGCGAAAAAAACATGAAGGTCGAATCAGCCAGAAGGAAATAAGAAGCTGGAAACCGAAGCTCATCCCGATTTGACGCTTCGGAAACAAGCTCGATTGCGATGAAATTGGATCGGCAAGGAAGCGCAAGCCGTCTATGTACAGAGCTATGAAATTAGAACGATCCCGCAGTCCACTTTCGCTGAAAGTTTTATCATTTCTTTATCGGCAGGATGTCCACGTTGGTCGTCGTCCCGATGAAACCCGGGACAGCATCTGGACTCATTTATTATAGAAGAACGGACTTCTCTTATTATGGAATTTAGTTCACAGCCAGAAGGGTACTTTATCTAGAATGGGAATTAATACCTATGTTATATATACATATATATATATATATATCATTTGCGAGAACAGAAGGTATATAATTATTATTGATTATTTAATGAGAAAGTCCCATCGAAGTTATTACGGAGTTACGATAATTTTATTATTCTTCGATTTCTCTTTTTGACAGCACTACGGAATCGCACTGACGGCCATCTGTGCTCTACCCATTAAGACACAAGCCTGCAATTGCAGTTCCAAACTGTACCTCCTTGAAAGAGACAAAGAGACAAAGAGACCAAAATAAGGATTCAATTGAGGTTGCATCGGGGCTCATCGCACTGCTAATCCTGTTTCCTATCGATTTTACCATCATCTTTGTTCCCAATTTGGCACACAAGAGTAGCTCGCGACTCTAAACCCCCCAAATTGCAAACACGTCGCGAGATTCGCATATCGAAGAACCGGGGGTTGGTAGCCCAGCCACCCTATGGGAACCTTCGTAGCACCGTGGTTGGTACCGGTTGAATCGGCTTCAGACTCACACGGAGGATTCTCGAAAAAGTTTTCTAGTGAACCAAGAGAATAACCAGGGTTGGTAGGATCGACAGGACCAGAGGGTTAAGGGTAGGTGGTACCTACAAGGGTGAAAGTAAAGAAAATCTTGGTAACTCGAGAAAGCACCATTTGCCGCAGAAAATTCAAACTACGCAAAACAGGGATGAAGGGATAAAATAGTTAAGAAGAAGAAAAAAAGAAAACTTTGAAAGGCGCAGATGTTGGCCATTACGAGCAGCCGTTACCTACTCGGACCTTCCGTATCCTGGGGGTTAAGGACGCGCTCTCGTCTTCTCATTCTCAAATCTCGAAGCGCCGGCCTATCCCTTTTATGCGGCTAGGGATGCTGATGACAGTGATGACGTAGAAGAAAGTGGCTGAGTGCTCTTCCGTCTCTTCTCCCGTCCTTTTAATTATGTTGCATAATGAAGACTGGCTTGCGCTTCCACCCACAACATGCATGTCGGCCGCCATGGCAAAGGGAGCCAGGAGAGGAGTCTTCCTTTTTCTCTTGACAGTCTCTCTCTTTCTCTCTTTCTCTCTTTCTCTCTTTCTCTCTTTCTCTCTTTCCCGCCTCACTCTGTCACTCGCTACGTTCACTCGTTCGTTCAGGCGCTTCTTTAAGCCTGCGTGTAGCGGATCCGCTTTCGGATTATAATCCTCTACAAACTACCCCACGTGCCACTGGGATACACATATTCCAAGCTCATTGTTCGACCATGCACCGCCTTTTTTCCGCCACGACGGACATTGTATTATCCGAACAATGTACCATTCTTTCCTGCCGTACTCTCTCCGCTCTCTCCACTCTCTCCACTCTCTCCACTCTCTCCACTCTCAACCCTCTCATCGCTCTCGGAACCTAGCCCAACCCCCGAGCTCTCCCCTTTTTTTTTCAATTCGATTTACACAGCAGGTGGGCCCACTTGATGAACAGTCTCCATACAAAAATGTTTTTTAATATCTGTACAATTAATATTTCAACCAGAGAAGAATTTCCACAGGAAAGAGACATTAGGAAGTCAGTTATACGGGCTCAAGGCTGGGAGCGAAGCACTGATCAAAAGTGCAACGAGAAGCTGCGGCGCTCACGTGTGCAGGATCAAAAATCCAAATTCCAGAGTTTACGCCAAAGTGCATTCTGCCGTGACTAACAGCAGGATAGTCCTGACCCACAGCCGTTTCCACTGAATCCTCGCTGATAGGAGGCGACCTAACCTCCCCGTACCGAGACTCCGTCGTAGCCTTTCACTTTCTCTTTCCTTTTCCCAACTGCACGTAGCTCTGTGACATAATAACTGACAACGAAGGAAGTTTTATACCGGGTGTTGGGAATGGAGATGACCGAAGGGCTGAGTATTGTACCCAGGGCAAATGGCAAAAGGCAAAGGGCACGGTGGGTCGTCCTCTTCCAGGGGCAGGTGCAGGCGGCAGGGCCGGGTCAGAGGGTAGGGAACCTGAAGCGCTCATATTCCGGTTCATTTTCCCAAATAAACATCTAACCGGCAGATTGATTACTCCTACCTACCTTTGATATCTACAGGATTCCCTGCAGGATTTTACGCGGCTGCCATAAATTCATCGGAGCTGTGGAGGTCGACGCGATCGACGCGTCGACGCTACAGCCTCGTGCCTGATCCTTATCGAACCTTCGATTCTCCAGATTAAAAAGGATGCAGTCCCGAAACCATCAGCCACCATGAGACTCGCGTAGTTCTCGTTATTCGATTCGCTGGAAAAATCACGAAAAGAAAAACTTTCGAAACGCGAAACCCTCGACCAATTCCATTGGTCGTGGAAAGTGCGGATCTTTTTATGAAAGCTCATTGAGCTTGCGATGATCGGCCTGCCGTACCGGGAGGGGCGTCTCGACGCTAGGCGCCTCTTGCGCGTGTATATGCAAAGTGACTGGTTACGTATTCGACATTCGGCATGCTAATCAAGCGTGACCAGCTGTCGGCGAACCCGACCTTTTCCTACAGCGTTTTCTACCCTTCTCCTTCGTAATCCGGGCCTTCTGAACCCCCCAACTCCCTCCCAGCTCCGCAGCAGTGCGCATCTAATTGTGCGCGTGGTCTAACTGTAAGTTTAGAAAGAGCACCAGAGCCCTTCGCATCTCGTCTTGACTTTTGCAGCTTCCCATTTCTGTCCCACTGACCGAGGTGTGAGCTTTTCAAAAGGGCACTAGGAACAATTTATCACCGAGTTCCGCATAAGTATAGGCATGTTTACTACCTCAGAGACGCCATCCTTTCGCCGTCTTACGGCGAAGGCTCCCTCAGAGAGGGATGATCTAAGCGCGTTCAACCCCACAATAGACACTGCCCGCTGCTTTCTCGTGCTACGAGGCCAAAAGTGAGGCAGCAGCAAGTGAGGAGAACCAGGAGAACGGCCAGGAGCCCCGGATCTTGCTAAATGCATTTTAGGGGCGGGCGGGCGGTGGGGGAGAGGAAGATCAAGGTCACGGGGCAGTTGATTCAAGAAATATAGAAGAAGAATATTTGCCAAGGAAACATCCTCAAAATAAAGCCAGGATGAGAATTGCATTATCCAGGCGGGGGAGAGATGCTGATATAAGAGAGTAAGAGAGGAAGAGAAGCGAAGCTAATGGGGGCAAGAGGAGTGGCGAAGGAGGCTGGAAAGGAAAGCAGCAACGCGTGTTTCTTCCCGAGGGAAGCAGCGATATAACGAATTCGAAAGACGTTATGGAGATGCTCCGTATAACAAGGTCCACTTTAAATCCCATTAGGTGGCGTATTCGAGAGGCAGGAGAGGGAGAAGAATAGAGAGAGAGAGAGAGAGAGAGAGAGAGAGAGAGAGAGAGGGGGAGAGCCCGGTGGGTGTCTGGAAGCGACGTGTGACTGCCCTATAAATCAGAATTAATTTGACCGTCGGAAAAATCCTTTTAGAGTTGAGTTTTATTTGCCCAGCAAAGAACGGAGAGTCGGAGATTCATAAATCCAAATAAACAAAAAGCCTCTGCCCACCACAAGGTTCATTGAGTCCCGCGGATTCTGGGCGCCCTCCTGTCAGATATTTTTTTCGTTATTCATTATTGTGATAAATGGAGCACGCTCCTGCTATCTCGCCTTTCATGCGCTCCCTTATTCGTCCCGTCTTCTGGTCCCGTATCTCGTCATCCCTTATTGTAAATCCTATTGTCACTAACGTCCAGCTCGCTAAACTCGCAGGCACAGCATCCACCCAAAGGAGCAGACACTGATAACAGAAGGGTTAGAGATTCACTGAAAGTTTTGGGCCAAAAGCCAACTAGCATCGATGCAGCCCAATAATGCTCACCGATCCACATTCGTTGAGCAGCGTAACTACCCCGACTAGCACGTCGAAGCGCCCGGCAATCACAGCAACCAGTCGCTATCAGTGATTTTTTCAAGACTAGACACTGATAACTACTAACAGTTCTTTCCTTTCTTTTGACTGCTCCGGTCTCCCGATGCCACGCAAGTGATGCTCAAAGAATCAAGAGGAATCATTTGCGCATGAGGCGTGCTAACTTGCTAACTTGCTAAAGTGCCTGTGAATTCAGTGTCAGTGAGGGCGGCCCTAATGTCGTACGCGGTAGCATTAGACTGGGGGAAGGAAAGTTCACGGGTCACGAGAAAAAGAGATCTTAGGCCAGGATCACGTGACCATGTCAATTTTTAAGGATCTTGGAAATGATCTCGCGAGAACCCGTCTAGCAGGCAGGGTGATAACGGCGTGGCCGGTTGCCGATAAGAGTGAGGTTATTTATCGGTTGGCCCCTTTTCCCTGACCTTCGTGAGGATCCGCAAATGGCCAGTCAACCTTTTAATAAGGAACCGTAAGGCCGCCGCCATATCGCGCCGAGAATCCTGCCCGCTTTATTACTATTTACCAGCAGCCTAACCACCCACGTGGCTCTTTCTACCGAGGCACGCATTTTCCAGATTTCTCATACTTTTCCCTAATTTTCTCTCCATACGTCGTCCCTGTGTACTCGTGGCTTCCTCTTTTCCGAAGTTCCAACCTGAACTCCGTCCACGTAGCTGGTGGCCTCGATCCGCCTTGTCAAATACATCGCGCGCAGCCAACTCCCAGAGCCCGGAGCAAACTCTCCCCCGACGCCCGGCGTCGTCGTCCTTATCTCTTGCAAAGATCCCACAAAAATTTCTCCAGCTACACGCAAATCCAGGGATATATGGTGTCCGGAGATCAAAGTGCCGGCCAGCGTGCATCGCAGCGACAAGTTGCAGAAGACAATTTATGGCAGAGTGAACGTCATGAAATTCGCTAGAATGGTTACTGCGCTGCTGCATCCGACCCAGTTGGAATCACTTCTCCTCGCGTCGGTAATCACTGATCTTCGTTTCTAAGCAACCCCTCCTCCCGGAATACCAATTCCTCGAAGCCGATTTTTACAGAAAAACTGTCGCCTGCTCCCCTGCACTGCTCACCGATAAAACATCATTTCCTTTAAAGAAGGAAAGAGCTTTGATATTTTGATAGTAGAACCAGCATTTCTATGTTAGAATTTAGTAAACGGCAGGACGCGCCCCGATCTCACGTGGATATTATTTGTATATCCAATCGTTCGAGGACACCCCGAGCGTTCGCAACTGCGAGGAGTCGCCTTGAGTTCCAATGTCAATTCTCAGAGGCGCTTTCTCTGTTGGAGAAATTATAAGACGTTAGGAAATCATATTAGAAAATTGTTAAGAGCGTCGTCGGGAAAGCGCGCGAGTCGGCCACGTGCCAACGTGCCAAAGTGGAGCACAATTCCCGTTGGACCCTGTGCTTTGACCCATTGTGCTTCTCGGTGCGTGCTGCTTTCGTGCTTTAATTAAATCTTCTATCAGGCTGCTGGATGCGCAGACACGCGCGCGCTTGTGCAACCTAGAGGCACGCACAATCAAGAGCGCGGCAACGTGAGACTATGACCTTTTGCTTATTTCGACTGACCGTAGGTCGCTCAGCCGTGCGACCGCCCACAGAAGGAATCTCTGTCTCGCAGGCTGCACAGTCAGACTGTGCGAGAGGTAAGAGACGGGCGCGATTCCTACACTGAAGCGTCTAGAAACGAGAGTCTATCGTCTATCGCCTACGAGCATTCAACGAGCATTGAGAAGGAAGTCAAGAGTACGGAGAAGGCTTGGAGGAGATTGTGAACTTTTTGAAATTTTCCGAGTTCCCCTTCGGCCCTTCGGCCTTTCGGCCCTTCGGCCCTGCGGCCCGTTGCCCAGTCAGTCAGCTGTCAGTCAGAAGCTGCTCTCGCCATACTTCACTCCCGGGCGCTTCGACCTCGGCAACAGGCGAATATGTGCAGTGTCCTGTGTTCCCGTGTACTCCTCTCTCGTCTGCTGCCACTCTCGCTAGAACCTCATTGGTAGCTGCTCGAAAACTACTCACCCGTTTCCCCACCGCAGACCCGGGGTACGATTTGCAAAATGGCGCTGCAGGACGAATCTTCAAGGCAGACCTGTTGGGCGAATAGGCAGTTCAAGATGGCCTCGCCGGTTTTGATATTTGTACCTGAAACAAAAGAATTAAAATGAAATGAGAGAGTGTCATAGAGAGTGGGAGTCGAAAGGGGGAAGCGAACAATGAAGTCTCGTGGATGGTCCGATCGATCGGATCGAGTAGCACGCGCCAACCTATGACTGCCCCCTTCGAGCCCTCTTGAACCCTTTCGCAACCCCTTTTGAAATCCCTTTTGAAATCCCTTTTGAAATCCCTTTTGAAATCCCTTTTGAAATCCCTTTCGAGAGCCTCGAATGACGAGGCATCTTGGATCAGCTGGACTCGGCAGCCTCATCGAACGTTATTTCAGGTCAATTCAGGTTATCTCAGAAACAGCAGCTTCACTGCTGCGTCGCCTTTAGGATGTCGCCTGATTTCGCAAGACTGCGATAACGCATTAATTTTTATTTGTGCCGGAAAAACAGTTCATAATTTATGGCCGCGACTCACTCAAAGTTTATTCGACTTGAAAGCGCGAAGAACTTGTCGGCATTACGTAAAGCGGTGAACAGCGGGGAAACTCTTCCGTGAGGCCGATCGCAAGTTGAGGACGCATTATGTGACGGAAGGAGAGAAGAAAAAAAGCGAAATCTTAAGTGGGACTTCTAAGCGAAAATTGATCTTTTAAAAATTCCTTATTTTAACAATTCGTCTTTTTCTCTAAACCTAAAGAGAAAGCACTTGAGAATTATCTCCTTTTGTCGCATCGTGAACACCGCAGCGATGTTAGGATGAACATAAACCATAATCGTTTCCAGAGGCTGCTGCTGGACCTTTTTAGGCCTGAAGATATATCGTATACGACAATTCCTGTCCATGTGCCGGAAGTAGGCTTGCGGTGGCAACTTTCTAAACTAAAAGAGCGGCTCGGTCCAGTTCGATATTTATTAACAATATCGTACGTGCCAACAAGCGCACCTTATTGCCAGGACCTTCATCTTCTAGTTAGTTCCCTCGGATGCCGAGATGCTGGAGGCGACGGAGAAGAAAATTAAAGGCGCGTCGAGACGAGCCAATAGAAACAATAGAAAAAGTTTCTTCGTTTTAGCACTCATCCAAGAAAATCCCTTATATCACCAAAGCGAGATTATCCAGGAAAAACCATTAAAGCATTTTCATCCGATGATATATTTAATTATCTCCGAGAAATAGGAAGTGCCTTTTACCCTTATATAGATACCAAGTCAAAAACTCTTTTGGCATTAACTCCACAAGGTGGTCACAGAATACTGAGATTCTTTATTTCTCCTGAATGAAGCAATCGCACTGATAAGAGAAGATCAAACTGATTTCCGGAAGGTAGCCTGGTAGGAGGGATTGGCCGCAATGCGTCGCGGGTTCACATAAATCAGGAAATGTAGCGCGTAAATTTGGGAAACGCATTCTGCATGTAACCGGACCCGCCGACAGGGACGAGAGAGAGAGAGGGAGAGAGGGACAGAGAGTAGATGAAGAAGGACAGGGGGCTGGCGAATCTATACGTAAAATCTATAGCCACTGGGACTATCGAGTCTGGCGGGGAAACAGGCGTCCCCTGCAAATCGATATATGGGACACTGATTTTCAATTATCGGTTCCGCGCGGAATGTTTCCATGTGTCCATGCGTGTTGTTGGCCCAGTGGCTGCTCCACCTAGTTTTACCTGGTTACCTGCCGGTTACCTGCCGGTTACCTGCTGGTTCCCTGTCAACTTGCCTGCCACGCGGATCACGGGACGTTATCGTTTCCAGTGCACGCTCAAATACGTACATGTGTCCATCTGAGCAGTCTGTTGCGTCTGTTGCGTCTATTGCGTCTATTGCGTGTACTCATTGCGTGGATGGTATTGCAATGGGGCAATGGGCCACGCACGCACACTGCCCCACGCGTTATTACAATAACCCTTGCACGCATAGCCACAGCCATCGTTCAGCCAATAGGAATTGCGCGTAGCATGTACTTGGATACATTTCACGTATACAGCTAATCTAGATTCCGCGAATCCTCAAATCCGTAAATTCTCGTGAAATGTCCTGAGGGCTCGCCCAATCGACACGGACATTCTATGCCGCAAGATATGCGTATTCCGTCTAAATCAGTGGTACCAACGAACAAGAAAAAAATGATCTCCGAATCTTTTGTCACTTTCATGGATGTCAACAATATTGAGAACAATCTTTAAAAAATCTCAACTCTTATCGCGATACAATTTCCAGTTTCCGAGATTTTATCAGGACTGAAGCTGCGATGGTATCGCATTCAAGATAAGCAATAACCTAATCGAAATTCGAGAAACGTAGACGCATGACGTAACCCATGCGGCACACAGTTATACCTGGTATCGTCATCTAGCCGAGCGCAATGCAAAATTCTAGCTGTTCCGGTTGATAACGAGCCACCAAACCGTAGCGAACTACGTTTATGGGCAGGAAGCGTTGATTGAGCCAGGAAACTTTAGGTCTCCCAGCTTTCCCGCTTCCGGCAAACCTACAATTATCCAGGTTGACCAACCTAAAATTCCCAGAGAGAATTTGACAGCGCGGACTGTACCATGTAGTAAGTACGTATTGTGTGAGTGTGCACGTGTGTATCGTACATACGTGTAGCTGTGCATTGCGGAATCTAGATGCAGCTGGACTTGGTTCGTTTCACCTCCTGAAATTTTTAGCCGATAGTTGTTCAAGTGCTCACTGCACCCCCTACAACTCCTGAAACCCTTGTGATTTCACACACTTCTACAGCACTGCAACGGACACGCTTTATTCGAATTGAAATTTCCATGAAAAATAAAAAATACCCAATAGATTCGTATTTCCTGATACGTGCGTGTGTGTATCGCCTATCTTCATGTACTTTCCACAATCCTTTGTCCTCAGTAGAACGGTATTTCAGCGGCAGCCCAACAAGCGTGTCGATAAAAACCCTCCAACGACTTTTAGTCAGAGTGCAAGTCAGATATTTCACGGATTTGGCAGTTACGCATCACCTGGAGAAACAGAGACACCAAAACCTTTCAAGGTCATTGTGCTTGAAATAACTATATGGCAAATTTGTCTTTATCGAGCCCCCGTAGATCTGTGCGGAATTTAAGGGTTTTAATGTTGCACATCCGTGGGCGATGGATTATTCAGTGCTGCTCTCCTGCTCTCCTGCTCTCCTGCTCTCCTCCTCTCGTGGTTTGAGAAAGGTTAGCCCAATGGGGAAGGACTCGGTTTTTCTTCTTCTTCGTCCTCGTCTTCCTATCATTCCCAGCCATTCCATCAAAATCCTATTATTGATGCTGATAAATTATTGGTACACGATTCTCCAGGTACCTCCAGGGCAAACCTGCAACTGAACCGAGATGAATCTCGTCGAACATCCTGCTGCAATTGAGCCCGGTTACTAGTTGCAGCATGCGGAATTCAAATGTAGCTGCAGCTTAATCGATTGGGGATGTTTTACTCGAAATTGGAGCGAGATTGAAATGAGGTCGAAGTGCGGAAGGAATAAAAAATATAATGAAAGATACGAGCTAATTTTGAACGAAAAGAAAAAAAAAGTTAGAGTGGGGATACCTGAGTCCATGTTCAATATTAGGCTGATAGTGATCGAATTCGCGCCACCTCAGTGAGGCCGAAGCCGCCGACACGTCCGTCGGGACGCAGGGCGTCGTTTTTAATCGAAGAGGACGAAGAACTAAGGAGAGAAATACAAGGGCAAGAGAGAAGAGAGGAGAGAGAAGAGAGAAGAGAGGAGGCAAGGGCTCGTGCTTCCAGCGGCCAATCACGGTCCGGATAAGAATCGCGCACCGCACACGCCAGCAGTACGGGGCGACTTTAATTGCAAAGCACGGATCGATTTGTCGCCAGCGCGCCTCGAGAAACACTCGGCGCCTTCCGCTACCACCGCACAGAGCTGAGCCAGCTCAGCCAGCTCAGCCAGCTCAGCCAGCTCAGCCAGGTCAGCCAGCGCCTCGACGGCGACCTCGCCTCGTACTCTGACACTCTGACACTCTGACACACTCGGCCTCTCGGAGCGCCACGCGACGGCCCGGGCCTCACGTCCGTCATCCCCCTCATGCTTTTCATCCCTTAGGCTCTGAGCCGACGGCCCCAGAATGCTGGAATCTAGTACCCAGATCCCGGATCCCAGGAACCGTGCGATAAAGCCGGCGACGGTCCTTATTTTTCTTCCAGCTGTTTCTCCTTTCGACATTCTGCTTCTACAGGTATACATATACATACATATATATATATATATATATATATATATATACTATAGACAGGTGCTTGTAGATCCTCGAGGGACGGTGGCGAAATGATTCGCAGGGCTACAAATGGGGATTGATGACTGATCGATTGGATGGTTCAACGTTTGAATAGTTATTCGAGTACTTCTTTTTTGGGCCAGAATTGGCCGATCGATGGCGTCACGACGGACGGGCGTCCGCTTAGCTATTTAATTCTTGTATACTCTTATTATCGATGCATAATGCCTAATAGAATTGTGCCCAATTGTATTTCAACTAGTCGATAGCCGATAACACACAGCCGGAAAGTGTAGAGCGAAATGGTCTCTTGTAAATTGTGTGTGAGACTTTCCGTTCGTCATCTAAAAGATGCTGCAACGCATTCGCCGTTAAGGCCTCAAAAGGCTGTTTACCGCGACGCCTGGCGTCGCTCCTTCGCGCATCACTATCGAAAAGTTACGAGCGTCTACCGCAGCGGCAAACCGAGAACTTTCTTTAAGTTAGTTTCCCTCTGTAGGGACGTTTTTGAAAGTTCTTACCAGTGTTGCCACTCACCCGCAACCCACTCAGTGAATAAAAATCTGAAATACGCGTCACACCAAGGAAACTCCTTCGCCACCGGAGACGCGCGCGACCCCTTTTGGATTTTCATATTTTTACTTTTGCTCTTACACCCTGTCCGCTAGCACAAATTTTCATCTGGACCCGAGTCTTATCAGCTCTGGCTATAGGCTGCCGCCGATAGTAGCTTCAAATTGCTGAGTTGCGCAAGGTCAAACTTTCCGAGTGGAAGGACTGTCGA